ATTTTCCCTGTGGGTGTTAGCGTTCTGCTGTTTGTGGTTCCCTCTACTGGATTTGGGTGAGCCTGGATTGGCCCAAGTTAAACACCACTGTCAAGTCTTACTTTCTTGGGTAGATTTGCAAGCCCCGGAAAGGTCAGTTATCCTCTAGCTTTTTCCTGGTGGCTAGTAATCTCAGTTACTCAGGGCTTTGGAATGTAGTCCTGGTATTATGCATAACAGTATTTCCAGAGGGTGGGATAGATGCTGGTTGTTAATGAGCCTCAATTTGCATTTTTTTTTGGGGGGGGGGCTCACCTGGAAATGGCTGAATCTCTGAGGGAGGGGCTGCTGCTTTTTTCCACAGTCGTGTAGGAGCAGACTGGCCACCATCCTTTGTGGCTGCGACTCAGCAAAAACTCTGTGTGCCCTCCAAATACCGGGTGTCCCCACACAGTGCCAATCCAGTCTGTTGTTTCTTTGCTGGAACCCCAGATGAGAAGCTGTAGCCAAACCAGTGCTCTGTCCCAACTCTCTGCACTGTGGAGCAGGCTTAGTATTTTATCCCAAAGGGCACTGCTCACAGCTAAGAGAGCTGCTGTCTCAAGGCTCCCATCCCGCCACCCTCTTGCACCTCTGCAGATCCTACCACTCTCCCTGATTACATGGTTCTGTCCTGCTGCTATTCTGTTGCTTTTTTCCCCAAAGATTTGTCTTTATTTTAGTTGTAATTCCTGTTTGGTCCTGGGAGATCATCTGTGTAGCTTCCATTCACTCTGCCGCCATTTTTCACACCCTCGATCATTATAGTTGGAAAACAGAAAGATAGCCACTGATCAAGAGACTGAAATCCTTTTGGGGTGTAGGTTTTCTTTCCAGACTCTGATGAAAAACATGGAGCTCTGCTTCCTGAGTGTAAAACACGCTTGATAACCATGGCATTGGTGTGTGGCAGGAAATTCATTATTTTGTTCTCCAGTGGCAGTGATGATGACCACCCAGGCCGGCCTGTGGAGGAAAACAGCTGAGGCCAAATCCAGAACTAACTTGGCTTGGTTGAGTTTTACACATTCACCAAAGTGAGTATTCGAATGTGCAATTATACATACATTGCAACCAGAGTAATACTTCAAATTTCTTATTGGATCATGTCTCTCCTCTGCTTTAAAAATACTTCCATGGCTTCCCATTTCTCACAGGATAAAATTCAAATTCCTAAACTAAGGCTAAAACACTGTATGACATGCTCATCCCTATAGCCTTACTATGGGTCACTTGTCCTGCTGCCTGAGCTGCAGCTATCAAAGCCTCCTTCCCCTCCCTCAGGGTGCACCTGTTCTTCTCTGCACAGGTTACTTCCTTGCCTGGAATGTTGTTTCTTTTCTCGTTTAAAAAAATGTTTTCCCCTTTATTGATCTTAGAGAGAGTGGAATGGAGAGAGAGAGATAGAAACATTGATCAGAGAGAACATTGATTGGCTGCCTCTTGCATGCCCCCCACTGGGCATTTGGCCCATACCTGAGCATGTGTCCTGACCTGGAATCAAACCTGTGACCTGTTTTGGTGCATAGGTCAATGCTCAACCACTGAGCCACACTGGCAGAACTCTTTTTTTTTTTTTTTTTAATAAATAAAAAGTCATTCGCCTTTTTAAATCTCTCTCTTTCTCTCTCCCCCCACCCCTGTTCTAATCTCCTATTTTCCTCCCGAGCTCAGCAGCAGTCATTTCTTCAGGGAGTCCTTCCCTGACTCCCCAGGTTTCTTGCTATAACAGTTCTCCATTTTTCCTTGATATTGTTATTCACAGTAAATATGACATTTTTGTGTGATTACTTAATGAATGTTCATCTCTAACTCAGATACGTCTATAAACCTCCTACTCACACTGCATTTCACCCCAAATCATGTATGTCAATCATATGTCAATGGTGTTTTTCCAGAATATGAGTACTAGAGGACATATCTTTACATTCTTAATATGAACTGATGATACATGGCATTTTGCAATTTACAAAACACTATCATGTGACTTTTGCTATTTAACTCTCACAATGACTTATTTAGTTAAACCACTTGTTCAAAATCATTCTGTGTAATTTTAAGCTAGAGGCTGAAGGTTTGCAATGACAAGGGCAATGTTTTTATTATACACTGAGGAATCAATAATGCCTATCGCAGTGCCTGAAACAATAGCATTCAATAAGTAATTATTGAATAAATCTCTGGTAGGAATTTGTAGTTTCTCTGTGTTATTTGTGCTTTTTATGACATTGCATAATTTATAGGCATATTTGCAGCACCCACATATGTGTGTGGGCATGCTTACATAGGATACATGGTATATGCAGTTGAACAAATTATACCAAGTTGACCCATACCATAGAACTAATGTATACATTATGACTTTTTGGTAGGAATATTAGATATATTTGGACCCAACTAATTTTTAGTTTTTATTATCTTGGTCTGTTTGGATAGGAGTTCATCTGGCCTTAGAAAATCATTTGGAAAAAATAGGTCACATGGTCAGTCAAAAGTTTATAACATTGGGGGTAAAATCACCTTTCAAAGAATGTCTGAAAAAAATGTCTTAATGCTAATTACAGGAGGGCAGTAAAAACATATGGAAATCTGAATTTTTATTGTGTTTCTAAATTTGTCATTCTGAATAAATTTATGTAGATGAAGGATGACTCATAAGCCTTCCTTCTGACTATGGTGAAGATGATGATAATAATAATATTATTAATAATAATTTGTGTAATGCAAACTGTCGGGCTTAGATGCATTTAGGTAATTTGTATACTATCACATGAGCTCTCTCTCCAGAGCCTACAAAAAAATCAGTGTGGAACACCTGATATTCAACTGTGCCTCCAGATGGAGGGACAGCTTGAAAAATGCCATCATAATTTACAACTTTTAGAAAGTGTGGTGTGAATGCATTTTCAGTAAGTTTTAAACAGCTTGGATCATTCACAGGTACAACTGTGTTCAACGTGGAACTTCAGTGGATTTAACTATATTATTAGATTCGATCACTGATCACTGAATATAGGTGTAGCATGTGAGCAATGGGAATAGATGCCTTAATTAAATATCTCAGAACAGGACACATCTGTTTGGTGAGGCTGGGGGGAGGGTAAAACAGCATTTATTTGAATTTTATATTTGAATATGGAGTATCACTGAAGAAGCTCTTAACTTTGTGAAAGCAGCATATTTTGCAGCTTACCCTCTATGAGTTTAGAAGAAGAATAATCACAGAAACCATAGATGGAAATGCAATGTCTGACTCTTGGATAATTTGGACACTTGTACCCATAAAACAACTAAAGTATGAGTTGCTAACTGATAAGATATGTATTAGAGTGCAACATAAAAGGGCACATGAGTCGATATCTCCAGAGGTTAGGAAATTGACATTGAAGTTTTCTGGTTAAATTGGAGAAGGAATCCTATATATTATAATTCTATATGTGTTCTATATGTGTAACATGCATATCTGTGTGTGTGTGTGAGAGAGAGAGAGAGTATACACACACATAACTTTGGAGGCAAGGTATGTTTAACTAGCAAGCCATTGATAGATTTATGGTTTAGTTGGTTTTCATGATAAAGAGCAACGGAAATTTCTAAAATGAACTGCTTGGTGCATAAAATGACTTGAGGGTCTACTGTGTTCATTTGACCACCAAATATTCCCATTCTCTTATGGTTAAGTCCTGGACTAGGAACTGAATATCCAGTAGACAACCAAGCCAGACATGGGCCCTCTCTTCCTGCAGCTTACATTGTGAATGGAAGACAGGCATTAAAACTGTCCCTCAAATAAATATGCAAATAAAATTTGACAGGGCTGTGAATTAAAAATAGGGTGTTATGAAAAGGAACACCAGAGACAGGGTGATTCTCATTTTGCGGCTGGTTGGGATGGACCAGGGAAGGCTTCTGTGAGAACGAGAGGGTGAGTAGATGTGAACAATCTTCCACATGGCCGACACCGGACAGGTGTCCAGCCAGAAAAGCGGTTGGAGGATGGGAAGATAGATTAGCTGTGGTTGGACCATAACCAGTCATAGCGAGAGTGGCCCTGGTGCGGTTGGAAGAGAGGGGGAGGCCGGTTATTCAGAGGTCAGGGTGCAATGACCTCAGTGGAGAGAGAAGGGACAGGTCTGGAGCACAGCTATCCTCAGAGAAGTGAATGTTTTCTGGACTGCGACCATCTCTAAATGAAACTGCTCCCCTATCCCAAACAAGCTCTAGAACCAAACATAAAGACCAGCTTTTCCAAAGAGCTTATTATAGAGCAATTCTTTTTAAAAAGAGCCGTGAGAATGGCTTGTTCTGCAAAAAATACAGCTTTGACTTGGTAGTACCTGCAGCCCTTGTGGCAATGGAATTGCTGCTCTCCAGGCTCCCTGGCCCGCCGCTGGCAAGGGAGCGCCCCCAGGGGTTGTCATCTCGCAGAAGACCCCGACCTGGCCTTCTCCACGCGGCCCAGGGCCCTGCCCGCCCTTTGCGGGATGGATGGGGAACTCTGTCCCTGAAGAGCTCCTGCAATGCCGGGTGTGCGCCTCGCGCGGTTCGTGCGGAAGGAAAGAAAAGGAGCTGGCCGTCACTCAGAACGCACAGTTTTCACCTTTAACTCTGGGGGTCTGTCACGTCTGGCCCCCGCCTACTTAGCTCAGCCTTTAAGTGTCTCGAGCAAGGCAGTCCCCGGGCCAGCGCTCTCCCGCGCCCTTCCTTTCGCCCGCGGAAGGAAAACAGGCGGCGGGGCGGGGGGCGGGACGCGGTGCGGGGACCGGGGACCGGGGACCGGCACGCGCTGGGCGACCCTAGCTCCGCGCTCAGAGCCCAGCACCGGAGTCACGGGGTGGAGCGCGAAGCCCCGCCCAGGGCGTGTCCTTCCGAGCTCGACCCGCCCGGAGCGTGTACTCTCGTGGTCGCCCCGCCCGGGGGCGTGTCCTGCGCCCCGCCCCGCCCCCGCCCGAGGGCGTCACGGCCAGCCCCGCCCCCGCGCCGCTGGCCCTGGGCTTCCTCTCTCCACTCGCCTCCACAGAGCTGTCGCTTCGGAGCCCGAGGACGCACGGAGGGTCTGTTTTTAGGGTCCCCGGACTGCAGACACTGCCATGGCCCCTGTGCTCAGCAAGGACGCGCCGGACATCGAGGTACGGACTGCGCCCCGGCTCCTCGGGGGCGGGAGGGGTTCCCGCGGTGGGGACCGGGAAGGCCCGCGGCCACCGCAGCGCCGGGGAGGAGCGGGAGACGCAGGACCCTGGCCTCCGCCGGAGGTCTGCGTGGCGGCGGAGTCCCGTGAGTGGAGGGTGTGCCCTTGGGGTGGGACAGGGCTGTTACTGCCGGGAGGGGGTGTCAGGAAGCCTGCCCCGTCCTGAGTGGCGTGACTGAAGCGGCACAAGAGTTGCAGACAGGGGGACTCTGCGGGATAGCAGCGCCCATTTCCAGTCAGACTCCCCACTCCTCCCTTTCCCCCCCTACCTGCATTCGGGACTCCTGTCTGCTGCCCCCCTCCCCCCTCGCCAAGGCATCTGAATCCTGAGTAATTGCCAAGGGGTGGTGCATAAATGAAGGAGAGCTGTGTGTCAGCGATTGTGGCAGTCCCTGCTAACCAGAGTATTGCTTAGGAAATAATCTGGCATGAGAAAAGGGGAATCAAGTATTGAGAACATGAAAATTGCAAGGAAACTGTGGTTCCCCCCCCTTCAACAGTTTTTGCTTTCCTCATGCACTCTGTTTCTGTAAAAATGTCATCTTTCTTTCTGAATATAAAGTCCTACCTGAAATGACCATTTCCTGTGAGTTCTCCCTAGGGCCTCTATGTGTGTGGCGAGGATTTAATTACAAATAGGGACTTTGGACTTACTCATCCATGTCAGCATTTCTGAGCTAAGATATACTGCTGTTTAGTTTTTTTGTAGGGCTTTTCTTTATGTGAACTACTCTGATGAGACTTGTGTGTGTTCTTTAGAAATGAAAAGCTGTTTCTTTCCTCGGTGCGTTGTGTCTTCAGTAAAAGTTTAAAACCACCTGTTTGCAGAATAGCTGCTTTTGCCACCTTTTGCCTCTGTTGTTGATGGAAAGAACTTGGTTTGGGGGATGGCAGTAGTGTTTTCTCCAGACTCCAAGCATTGCTTTGAAAAACCGTTATGGTAACAAGAGCCAAAGTACATTTTGTGGGCTTCTCCAGTTAATTTACTTGTAGTTTCTTTTGTGGATAATTTACTTTTTCATTTGGATCAATATGATATATTTAACCTAATATTTATTTATGTGAGCAAAGGGTAGAAGAGACTCGATTTATGTTATAGTCCTTGTTACTTTGACCTATCCAAATGCCCCCCCCCCCCCAAGTCAATAATAGCAAAGTTCTAACAGCAGAAGGGCTGATTTCAGAAATGAGTGTCAGAGGTCAGGTGGTTTTCGAATTCAGAATGGTATGTTATCTGCTTAACTGATGTCTTTCTCTCTCTCTCTTATTTGTCTTTCAAATCAGTTCTTAACCATTTTACACTAAGGGACAAGATGCCAATGAAACTTAAATGACTGGCTTAATGTCATGTGTTGTTACAACCAAGACCATGTAAGAAGTCAAAACCCTCACACTTACCACCTGCTAACTTTAGTCTATGCAAATAGTCTGTCTGATATTCCTTATAACCTAGAATAGTGGAAGTCAAGGTTTTTCAGTATTTCTGTAGTTTGGATATGCAACACACTTGAATCAGTAGCATCTCTGATTGTACACAGTACTTACTTTTCCCTCAAAGTAGTACCCACGATTCATGAGCTAGGTGCCATGAAAGACCGTGAAATTAATCATTCAAATAATGCAGTGAAGAAAAATACCTAAGCCTAGAGAAACATGTTCAAGCATAGATGTCTCAGTTGATCCTACTGACTCACACAAGTTCACTTTTGTTTGAAGAATCAGAATGAATTATGAAAACACAGCTTTTGATCCAATTCAAATGTATACATTGGACTTGCTTTTCTTGAATGAATTTATTAAACCCATTGTCTAGAGGTCAGTCTGACTGTAACCACTGCCTTGGTCTCAAATAGATGGAGAAGCAAATCATGTTTAAAAAAATTATTGCTGTGAAACAGAAAACATGCTCACTTGATAAATGTGAAAAGAACAGAAGTTATTGGTGACAACCCACTATAATAGTGATTTAACTTTCCCCAACAGCTACCTACAGAACCCCAGGTCTCAGTGAGGCAGTCAAGACATAGTTGATTCTGAGGAAAAGGTTATTGAGGCATAAAAAGTCGCTCTGGGTACTCACTCCATAATTCCTGTCCTCAATCCTATCACATCAGGGTTGAAGGGTTGGGAGCCTGCAAAACAATCTGGACACCAAATTCCAAGACTGGAATGTCCCTGGGCTGGAAGATAGGCAGAGCAAGGGTGCATTAGAAGGTCATAGATCCATAGAAGTTAGGCAACAGAACCTAGCTCATGTACTTGAAAGTTGCTGTCATTGGAGTCCTGGGAGAAGATTCGAGGGAAGTCAGGTTTCCCCCCACATCCCAGTGTGGCTCCCAGCCTGGCACCCGAAGCTGACTCTGAACTTGAGGTCTCAGCCCTTGTTAGCCCTGTGACTCCAAGCAAGTTACCCAGCTTCTCAAGTCACATTTGCAGAATCTGTGAAGTAAGGAAAATAAAGGTAATTGGCAAATGTCAAAAGTTGACATCTCATTAGGGAAAAGGACAACCATGTGAAAAGGTAAACATGTAAAAAACTATCAGGAAAACCAATGCCAATGAAATACTTAGTATTCTAAAGCTTACCAACACTAGCTATACATGTATTTAAAGTTATTTGACTTTTTAGGCTCACTCTTTGGATACAGCTGAATTTTGTCAAGGATGACTTTGAATACAAATTCTCCTGGGAAGGTTTCAAAGAATACCACTGTCATACATCAATCACTTTCCCTGACATCAGTAGTACCTTCACACTACTTGATTTAGCTTGAATTGGTAACAGGTAGAATATCAGCATATTGAAAAGCAAATAAAAATGATTTTGGAAGAGTTTACTCTTGCTCAGTGTCTGTTCCCCTCCCACTGACATGGATAATTGAGGACAGACTATAGAAGTGTAGTCAACCCTGGCTGGTAGCTCAGTTAGTTAGGTGAAGGTTTGATCTCTGGTCAGATACATATCAACAAATAGATGTTTCTCTCTTTCTCTGAAGTCAATAAATATATATATTTTTAAAGTGGATGCTTTTAACTGTGAATACTAGTAATTTTGGTAGACATTTACATGAGAACCAAATTGCTACCTCCCCTCTACTGCTTCCACAATCACAAGTCAAGGTTCATCCCTTGAATTATGTTAATGAGTAATGAGGGGTTATTAACTCATTTCAAACTTACCCTGAATAAAGGGGTTTTAGTCCATTGTCCACAAAATCACAATACATTTCCAGTCAAATAAAAACTGTTCTGAATGACTTTTTCTATGGATTCTGTTCATTGGAGAAGATAATGGAGAATTTTCTGTTTGTTAATTAAGAATATAGGATAAAATGATAGACTTGGAAAAAGTGACTATAATGAAAACAACTTGGAAAAAGTAAATTTTAGGGAGCATTTTGACCAAAGGAAAGACAAGAGTTATGATTTGGTAGAGACGGCAAAGATTATTTCTGAATACCCCTAGGGAGGAAGCGGGTCTGGATCCAAAGCAGAGAATAAGGATTCAGCTTTACAGAAGCCATGGGTCTTTATTTATAAATTTATGCGTATTTCACTCTGCATAAAAGTAACAGTCTTTTCTTGTCTTTTTTTATTGGCTAGGCACCACACATCTATGGGAATGCTGTCTTGACTTGCTAAAGTTTTTAATTTTTTTTTAGTTTTTAAACTTTAAACCTGTTTTGTGAGTTTCCATTGTCCTCCCTACTATAAGCTGCCCTGGGAAACATACTTAGTTTTACTTTTAAAGTAACTCTCCTTTCTTAGGGATTTTGCTGGGCAGTAGAAATATGTCTGATTATGTGATTTGGAGAGTTACTTCATTTACTTTAAAGTATTTCTCCTTTTCAAGGAATTGAGCCATGCAGTAGAAATATATGTCAGATTGTGTGATTTGGAGAGTTCCTTCATTCCAAGGGTATCCTTGTTGTTTTAAAGGAATTCACATGTCTATCTTAGGCATGGTCATGTATATATTTTAGTATAGTTAAAAAAAAATCTACCTCCTACATTTGAATTCATATGACTGGTTTTAGTAGTTTAATTAAAAACTGTGAGATTAATGACTAAAGATGAATTGATCACTGGGGAGGTTTTTCGTTTGGATCTGCTTAATTATAGCAGGTAGTGTTGTCTGATCGCTTCATTGTAAAAATGTGCTAAAATTCAGTAGCCTCCTTTCTTACATTCTAGAAGAAAAATCCAGTTTTGGAAAGCTGCAATTAACAAAAATTCCAAGAAAATCTATAGTAAAAAATACTGAGGTAATTGCATGTTCTTTAGGCAATCCTATTTTTCCTTAACTATTTGAATACAACATTTTTTACCAAGCTCTGAATATAAATAGACAACAACCAAGGACTGAAAAATAGACATTGTAGTATGGTAAACGTGCCCGGTCCCTGTGGGAGCAGTCTAATAATTAGCTTAATCTTAAATGAAAAATTAGAAACAGTGAAATTGAAGACGATGAGGCTGAAAAAAATGAAGTAACAAAATAATAATGAAAAAGAGAGAGTAAATATGGACCAGGCATCCATGCACCGAAGAGGAGATTAGAAGGAGGGTGGCTCAGTTATCTTTCTGCTTCTCAGCCGTATGGACCCAGCGACCAATACAGGCCCCGAACCGTTAGTCCTTAAAACTATAAGGAGAATTCTACGGCACCTATGCTCTGCCTTAATTCAGAAGCACTTAATAAGGCATTCCAAGAGTATAAATTTATCTATAATCAGGATTTTAGTTTTCAAATGCAACTTGTTTACCTTCTGGGCTCCACTTGCTCTTAATCCTCTGTGTCAAGACAGAAGGTGTTGTTGGCCTGAAACGTCAGTGGTGTGGGTGTTCACAACATCCTGGAGCCAAAACACTGGGATGACTCCTTAGGGTTATGTCTTTCCTGTGGTTTGTAATTACACGGCTTCCATTGCTTTGAATTAA